ACGCAGGGGCCAAGTCAAGGGGTTGACAAAACAACAGCTGCCTGACACATAACACGCCACATCAAAAAGCCATGCAAGTTGGCTGGAAGCGAAAGCGTGCCCTGTGCCAATGCAACGCGACCGCCGCGACAGCCGCCCTCTGAGCACTTCATGCCACTCCAAGCGCACACCTCCTCCATGCCGTCCCCACCGCCGTCGCCGCCGCCGTCCCCTGGGCGGTCCACCACGACACGCTCCACGACGCACGTGAACACGCTGTGGCTGCGGCTCGACTCGCGGTTGAGGCGCGTCTCCCCGACGTGGCGGTGCTCGGCACCGCGGCGCAGCAGGCGCATGGCGTCCTCGACTGCAGGGGCGGGCGCAGCACGGCAGTATGCAGGTTCGCAAAGCGCATCATTCGCGGACACAGGCGCAACGGCTCGTGTGAGTCGTTTTGCTGAGGGCGTGCGACTGCAAGATGGCGCTGCTGCCAGGCTCACCGTTTTGGACGATCTCCTCGGAGAGTCCCTCCACATAGCAGCCGCGCTTGACATCCTCACGCACCTGGACAGCCGCACGGGGCGCACACGCATGCCATGCGGGGGCGTGTGGGTTGCTATGCAGAGGCCCCAAGGCGCACAGCCACATGTTGTCACTGCTGCAGGCGGCTAGATGCTCGGCTGATCCTGCACACATGGTTGTACATCCGCGCGTGCACGTGCTGTCGCACGCGGGCGACTGCGCATGGATGCACACATCCGTAACACATGCTGACTCACATACGTGCAAGTGCACATGAGGGTGACGTCCCCTCACCTGGAGGTTGGTGGCTGTGGGGTTGAGGAGATCCGTAATGACCTCGTTGTAGATCTCAAGCATAGAGCAGCGGCAGCAGAACTTGAGGCGGTCGCGACCCTGAGGGCAAAGGGTGGGCAGCGCAAGAGGTTCCTCAGTGACAGCGGGCGGACTGCGGCCGATGCAGTTAGGTGCGGTCCGCGCCATGGACTGTCCACCAACCCCACCTGTAGCGCGGCTTGGCAAACAGAAACTGCGGGGCCAACAGATGGTTTACATTTCGTATTTGGTGGCTGTGCAGCGCCAGCGGGCAGTTGTCATACCAGACCAGGCCAGCACACCTGCTGCTCCTGCATGGACTCGATCCGCTCAAACAGGTACTCAAAGACGCGGGGCGCCAGGCCGCGCTGCAGGACACAACGCAGGAGGGGGGGAGGGAGCTTGTCGGAAGGCGGAAGGCGGCTGCTGCAGTCCCCATGCATGCCGCTGTTTTTCCGAGCTGCTGACCAGCTGGCTGCAGCCGCTCAGGCGGTTGACCATCATGAACGCCACGCCCCTTCCGGCCAGGCGGCCTACGCCGCTGCCTGGCGCGTCGCCCACCTGCTCTTGGGCCGCGGCGTCGCCTCCGCCCGCCACGCGGCCCGTCATGGTGTGGGTCTTGCCGGCGCCCGTCTGGCCATAGGCAAACACAGACGAGTTGTAGCCGGACAGGCAGTTGTCCACCACCGGGGCGCCCACGGCTGCGAGCAGCGTGCGGCGCCATTGCAGGAATCAGGACAGTTCCTCTGCGGCATGCCTATGGGCATCGACTTTGTCCTGTATAAGAATCCAGGTATCACCGTGCACATCCCAGTCCTTAAGTCCCAGGGGATAGAGCAAACAGTGCCCCTTTGCCGGCGGCGTCACCGATTGCCTATCCCTCCCAATTCTGCAAATCCAGCGCCTGCTCACTCTCAAACACCTCCGCCTGCCCAGTCTCCTCCTGAAGCACGTCGTCAAAGGCAAAGTGGTAGGGGTCGCGCCCCGGCAGCTGAATCAGCACCTCGCGCGTGTTGGGCGTCGCCGCGCACATGAAGTGGGTGGCTGCGACGGTGTCGTGAGCAAGCGTGGCAATGTGAGGAAATGCAAATTCGTTTGAGCAGCTGCCATCACACAACTGGAACGGGTGGGGCACTCCTGTATTGTGGCGTCGCCGCTGCCCAGCGATCGCTGGCAAACCCAGACCACAGCACACGCGGCCCCCATGTCGGCCCAACTGCGCCTCCTAACACCCTCTGCTGTCGCATGGAGCTCAAAAGTTGTGGGAATTACTGCCGCGACATGCATGGGGCAGGCCTGCTGCTGCCGCTCACCGTCAGCCTGCTCTGTTTCGTTCGCCGGCCGCATGCGTATCACAACCTGTGAGGACGCCGCGGACCGCAGGCCATGTCAGCTCGCCACAGACCTCGAACCAGCGCCCGTGCCGCCGCTGACCCTAATGCAGCCGCGCCGTCGCACACCTTGATGCGCACCATGCTGCCTGCTTTTGCATGGACTGGCTCATGCGCCGTGCGAGCGCGCATGCAAGGGCGTCTCATGGCTCACCCTGACGTTGTCGCCTTCTTGGCGGTCGCCCAAATCATCGTCACCGGGACTGCTCATGTCGTCGGAGCCCTGTACACTCAGCGCTTCGGGCGGCGTGTCCCCGCCGTCGCCGCGCGGGCCGCTGATCAGTGCGCCGCTGCCATGGCGCGCTGCTCCGGCGGCTGCCTTGGCAGACAGCGTCGGGACGGGCGGCTTGCGAGGCGTGCGCACAGCAGACACCGGCACCTGGTTCGCACGAATGTATGGAGGCGTGCAGGTTGTTCAGACACCAGGCTGGCAAGAGTCAACAAAAGTGAGCTTATCTTGTCTACCAGCTGGTCCTGTTCCAGTTGCTGCGACATGGAGCGGTGCGCCAGCTCGTGCTCGCTGCTGCTGCGCTCTCGCCATTTGAACCCAGAGTCGCACCGCATCCCTCCAGGGCCGCTCCGCCGATCTTGGGGTGGAACGAGGGGTCTTCAGGGCGCGCTCAAGGTTCCCGCTGCTGCTGGAGGCCTCCACTCCGGGGGTGGCAGGTGAGTCCTCCCCCGGACCGGGTGTGCCCTGCCTTGCTAGCGAAGAGCGGCTGCGCGGAGTCGACGTTCCCGGTCGAGACCAATACATATCGGGCCCAGCTAGCAGGTGATGGGGCCGGTCGGCGATGGGATGCTGGTCAACTCCTTCCCTGATCTACAGACGCAGCCATCCGCGTGCTTGTCGAGGGCGTATTGCACAATTCTAACAATTGCATGCCGCCATCGGTACACCGCCGTCAGTTGGCGTGGCCTGCACCATCAAACCAGGCGCGGCAGTTGCCTTGTGAGCTCCTTCGCGTTCGGTATCCTGCTGAGTACCGGGAGGCCAGCGGCGGGAACTTTGCCTGCGCACAAGATTTACTTTACCAAATTATACGATGTATGTGAAGCCTCACCCTCGTCCTCTCCTGTTGTCAACTTTGAACATCAAGCTTGAAGCGATCTGACAGCTCGTCACCCCCGTGATGGACGGCGACGGAGGGGATGTGATAGTTTCTATGGAGTTCTCAGAGCTTGAGGGCATGCTGCGGCCCATCCTGCAGGACGTGGTGCAGGTGCGCTGCAGCTTTGCTGCCGATGCAGCAAAACAGCAGCGACTGCACGCACGCCGCCCCGCGCATGCTGCATTGCCGCTAACCGCATGTCCCCTCTGCAGGATGCCCCCTCCACAAGCAAGCCCGATGGTGCAGCATCCTCCGATCAGCTGACGCAGGTGGGGGTGAGCGAGTGCACCGCATTCGCATGCAGCCGCAGGTGACACAGGTGGGCGTGGGTTGCAGATGCCGGCAGCACCGCTCCATCACCGTGACGCCGGCCCGTCGCCCAATGCAGAGTGCACGCTGCCGCCCCGCCTGCAGAGAACTCTGGCGAGGCTGTGGAAGCTCATAAACGACAGCAACGAAGACAGGTGAGGTGGGACGCAGGATTGACATGGCTGCAAGTGAGCCGAGCGCGTGCTTACTGACTTGCAACATATACTTGCCCGTACGCAGGGCTGGCCACCTAGCGGGCGTGCCGCTGCCTGAGGTGGACGCGGAGTTGCTGCCGCTGCAGCAGGAGGTGCGCTGGGCGGGAGCGGGCGCCGCCCCCTGACATCGCTCGTTCCAGGGGGCACGCAGGTCGCCCCCAGCAGCAAGAGTGGGAGGAATCGCCGCGCATTCAAACGGCGATGTCGCGTCCCATCCAAGCATCGGTGCCCCCTTGCCGCACGCGGTGCGGGTTGCAGGTCGACGCCGCCCTGGCGCGGCTCAACGCGCGGCGCCTGGCCGTGCCTGCAGTGGTGGAGGCCGCGACGCGCGCCAAGCTCGAGGCGCAGCGGGAGTCGCTGTTGCGCGATACAGACCTTGCAGCAGGTGGGGAGCGATCAGGGCCGCTGACGACAGTGCCCGTGTACCCGATCGTGCGTATCCAATCATTTGGAAACAAGACAAGCATAGCAAGTCACTTTGCGGGCCAGCTGAGGGAGCCGCAGCAAAGGACTCCCATCAGGCGGCGATTTGCACATTTTCATTGGTGCCCCCTGTCCCGCTGGTCAACCTGAATGCACGCGTGGCAGCTGGTGACGGCGACGACCTCATGGCTGAGGCCGGGGCCGTGGGCGCGGCGGGCGCTAGGGAGGGTGAGGGTGCGGGCGCCGCCACAGTTGGGGGTGCGGAGGACGCTCGGGAGCTGCTGCGGCGGACGACCGCCACCACGGACAGGCTGCCGGCCATCAGGTGAGGGGCCGAAAAGCGGCCAGAGGGAGGTTGGCTGGGCGGTCGCATGGGGGAAAGGTGGGCAGGGCGTCTTGACAGGGGCCCTGTGCACTACGACGATTGTGCGGGCGCCGTAAGTGGGCTGCAAGTCCGATGCTGCGACCCGTCTGCTGCGCTGTGCCCCCCTGTTGCTGCGCCGCCTCCACACCTCCCCCAAACCCTCTTTGCAGGGCGCGGCTGGACGAGGCGCTTCACCGCCTGCAGACCAACCTGGGGGTGGGTGCCGCCCGGCACTGCTTTGATCACACCTGGCCCGCCAGCAGAGCGTTGCTGTCGCCTGTTTCGGGCCTGCCTGGCTTTGTTGTTGTTGCCCATGAGCGTGCTGCATTCTGCTGTGCGTAAACCCTTCGAACGAAACCATCACTGAACCATGTAAACCAGGTCCTGGGGGCCGGCGAGGGCGGAGCACGGGCGTCGCCAAAGACGGTGGAGAGAGTGATCATGCGCGCCGCCCGCACCGCTGGAAAGGACGCGGGACAAGGGCCCCTGGGCGGCGCCGGGGGCGCACCCGCCGCGGCTGCGGCCGCCGAGGACGGCGACGCCGGGGAGAGCGGCGCCGACGCGACGCGGCGCTGCCTCGCGCGTGAGCTGGCGTGAGGGGCACTTTGTTGCTACACCGAAGCGGCTGCTGTGCTTTTGGCGGCCTGCTTTGGCGGAGCCCCTTGCATCTGCGTCAAGCGCCTGCACGGCGATCTCTTGCTGACGAGGACTGCGAGACAGCGCTCTGGGGACCAGCGCAAGACGGCGCGCACGGCTGAAGACCAGCACAGGTGCTGCAGGTCCTGCTTTTAAAGCACCCTGGGTATGGCAGCCGGCGGTTGGCTTGCCGGCTATTTGATGTGGTTGAATGATGCTTTTTGGTGCAGATGGCCATTGGCAATCAAACAATGTCTGTATCAACCTGTTTGTAACATACCACAAGAGTGTTTTGATGTCGAGCTCACGCAAGTGGGCAGTGTGATACAAGGGAGGAGCAGACCACCAAAGGGTTGTCAGCAACCCCAGGTCTGAATGCAAATGCAGCTGTGGTCCGCAATGGTGGGCCAGCAAAACCAAAGCCAGTGCCTTGGGTAGCTGAGGCCATGCATGGAGGATGATTCCAAACCTCGACGCAACACAGGACTCTCGCAAAATATGTTGCAATGTCTTGCCTTGGTATGTCTGTGGCCAGCTTGCTCTGAGCCCCTGCCCATTAAGTTGTGGTGGTGGCGGTGGTCGTGAGTGGGGTCTGGGTGGGCTGCCGTGGGAGGGGAGGGGGCGGGCAGCCTCGGTAACCGCAAGTCGAACAGACCCGCCTCTGTCGGTCGACGTGCAAGTATACGATTACTGGGGCAATAGGAGTTGCTGGACCTCACCTCACTGCAGGCACCATAAAACGCAGAGAACTGCCTGGCAGTCATAAAAATGCACACGTGTTTTGAGGGGTTGCGTGGTTTGGCTTGGGCGTCTGTGGCTGGGCGGTGACAGCCACGTCACAGCGCGGCTGCCCTTGGAAGTGGGCGAGGGTCCTCAGGTATCTCATGTAAGAAAATACTGTGTGTGTTCAACACCCTAACCTGCCCTCGGTTTCGTGCCGGACGGACGGCCCGTCTAAAGGGACGACCGACGCGAGACGAGCTCCTGTTCCGATCTGCGGTGACGCCGGGGCCATTGTCGGTTTCTCTAGGATGTCTTCGCGACGCATGCGCAGCCCTGCAGCAATGGAGGCCTTACACCATGGTTCTCGACCGGTGACGCCGGCGATCGTGCTGCTCGCCGCGCTGCTGGTCGCTTGCGCCTGGCAAACCGCGCGCGCTGCAGAGCCGCGCCCGCTGGCCTCAAGGCCCCGGAGGCTGCTGCAGCCGCCCGGGGGCCCTGGCTTTGGCGGCCCACCTGGGGGCCCGCCCCCAGGCCGGGGCGGCGGTGGCATGGGGCCCCCAGGTGGGATGGGGGGCCCGCCAAACAGCATGGCCGCACCCGGCGGCATGGGACCGCCACCACAGCAGCAGCAGCAGCAGCAGCAGCAGCAGCAGCAGCAGCAGCAGCAGCAGCAGCAGCAGCAGCAGCAGCAGCAGCAGCAGCAGCAGCAGCAGCCTCCTCCACAGCAGCCGCTGCAGCAGCCTCCACAGCAGCCCCCTGTGCAGCAGCAACCGCCGCCTCAGCAGCAACAGCCTCCCCCTGAGCAGCAGCAGCAGCAGCAGCAGCAGCAGCAGCAGCAGCAGCAGCAGCAGCAGCAGCAGCAGCAGCAGCAGCAGCAGCAGCAGCAGCAGCAGCAGCAGCAGCAGCAGCAGCAGCAGCAGCAGGTGCCACAACCGTCTACCCCTGTGCAGCAGCAACCTCCGCCACAGCAGCAACAGCCACCTCCTGTGCAGCAGCCACCACCCCAACAGCTGCCTCAGCAGCAGCAGCAGCAGCAGCAGCAGCAGCAGCCCCTGCAAGTGCCGCCGCCGCAGGCGCAACAGCAACAGCAACCCGCCCAGCAGCCCTTGACACCTCCTGTGGATGCAGCCGCATCCTCTTCGCCGCGTGCCCCGCCCCCATCAGTTTCGCCCCCACCCCAGTTGCCCCCGCAAGCTGTCAGCCCCCAGCTGCCTCCACCACAGCTCGCTGCCCCAGCCACCGCCAGCGGCGGCGGCACGTTCGGAGCGGTCGCCACACCCAGTGTTGCACCAGGCTCTGGCCAGCAGCAGGGTGGCGGCCCGCCGGGAGCGCAGTGGGCATTCAACCAGAGCGGCTTCCCAGGCGGCCAGTGGCCCAGCCAGCCAGGCGGGGGCCAGCAGTGGGGCCTCAACCAGAGCGACAGCCAGTGGCCAGGCCAGCAGGGCGCCCGACCCGGGCAGAGGGGCTTCAACCAGAGCCGTGGCGCCTCCCCTGGAGGCCAGCCGCGTGGCCCACAGCCCAGCCAGCCCCAGCGATCACCGCCCGCCTTCAACCGCACGGCAGGCTTGCCGGGCGGCCAGCAGGGCATCACCCTGCAGCCCCCGGCATTCAACCAGACCGGCGTCCTTCCGCGGCCCCCACAGGGGCCGCCAACTGCAACCAACCGCACGTCCGCCAGTGGCTTCCCTGGCGCCCAGCAGGGCGGAGGGTTGTGGCCGCTAGGGCCGCCGCGGGGCTTCAATCCAACAGGCGGCCCCCAAAGGCCCCAGGGCACCGGCAGCTTGAACCAGACCCCAGGCAGGCGCAACCCAGGGGCGAGCGGCCAGGCGGGCCAGTACACCCAACAGCAGCTGCAGCAGGCGCTGCAGCAGGCACTCGTGGGGTAAGCAGTGCGGCCTGGGTCTGCGGGACAACCGCGCTGCCGATGCCTTCAACCGTCTCGCGTTTTTTACCTTGATCAAACAGCCATTCAAGGCGACTCTTATTGCGTGCAATATGCCGGCATGCCGGGTCTTGCCGCGCTGTGGGCATGTGTCCGAATGCAAGCAGGAAAGCGCAGGCTGGGTTGAGCCCTTGGGGCCCATGCGTTATGCATCCCTGAAATGGTTTCGTGGCCGATGCATGAGCGCGCCCATTTACGGCAGGGATAAACTTCTCGTACAATGCAGCATGGTGTGCACATCATATACGGCTCCTCGTGAACGCCTCTGATGCATGTCATCCACCATCCTGGTTGCACCACACGTTGCTGCATGTTACAGCGCAAATGCACCCCTGCGTGCGTCCATCGGTGGTGCATTTGAACAGGCGCCGGTCAGACGCTGCTGCAAGTCCAAGCTCGTTTCAAATCTGAACCTCACGCATGCGTACATGCATCAAGCATTGCCTGCAAAGAATTCGGCCTGATCAGACATCAGGCCGTGCTGCATCATGTCTCATGCTTCATTTTGTTGTGCAGAGCCGCCAGCTCAAGCACTTGCCACAGAAGAGTGGTGCACCAAACGCCCAGCAATGATTGTAATACAGCCGACATGAATCTTCCATTCTGACTGCTTGAGGATGTTAGGGGCCCCACTGACTGAGACAGCAAGCAAGGAGGCTGCAGCAGCCTGCCGGGCCGTGCGATAGCCTGGGCACACACAGAGCTAGCGCTTGCACCCGCGGCGTTGCCCAGGCGAACACAGCGCGCAGCAATACAAGCGCGGCGCACTACAGTTGAGATATGACGTCTGAGGCCATCAAGTCGCAGCGCCGGCACCGCCGGGGCCGCTGGGCCGCACCTGCGTCCAAAGCTCAGCCCGTTTCCGCCGCCGCCAGCGCCGCGAGCTGCTGATCCAGCGCCGCAGCCACCCTGTAGGGGTCGGTGTGGCCGATCGACGCGCCCCCAAACACCTCCAGCCCGCCAAAGTCGCTCGCGGCGTTGTCCAGCTTGCCGCGGCTCACAAGGCGCGCCACCACCGGCGGGCGGCCCGCGGGGAACGCGCCCGGCACCCACAGCTCGTCGACAGGCAGCGGCAGCACGCCGTGGCGGCCGCCGCTCGCGGGGCCATCGCCGCCGTCGACGTCGCCACCGCCGTTCCGGCTGCTGCTGCGGCTGCTGGTGCTTGCTAGGCGGAGGTCGAGGGCGGGCCCGTGCGGGTGCGGCACCGACAAGTCGACGTTGAGGGCCGCTGCGGGGGCGGTGCGTCGCGGCGCACAGGGGCGATCCGCACACTGTGTTGGTCAGAGGCCATGTGGTGTGCAGGGCTGAGCAGACCAATCAGCTGACCCAATCAGGACCAGCATTCGAAGCTGGTCACTCATTCATAACAATGTGTCGACTCTTGCAGACCATGAGAGCTGCTGAGCGTTCCGGCCGGACAGTAAAGCGTGCTGCTGCACATGCACGAGCACACACAGGGGGCCCACCGGCGTTGAACGTGGCGCAGCCGAGGCCGTCGATGAGAGCGCGCAGGGCGGCGTAGAGCAGAGCCTTGAAGGCGGCGCAGCCCAGGTGGCTGCCAACCACCACCAACTCACAGTCCTTGCGGGGGGCTGGGGTGGTGGGGCGCACAGTATTTGTGTGTTCATGTGTGTGTGTGTGTGTTCATGTGTGTGTGTGTGTTGATATGTGTGTGTCAAGGAGTAGAGGGTGAACCGCAGGTTCGGGGGTCAGGGAAGTGATGGAAATTTGAAACATGGGCAGGCCTTGCGAGGGGCTGATGGGGTGGTTAGGGTCGCAGGATAGCACCCTACCCTCAGCGCTGAGGCAGGCGCGGCCAAGCAGGGCAAAGGGCAGCTCACAGTGGTGGGGCCCTTTCAAGGGGGTAGGGGCCTGCACGGCTGTGGGTGAGACGCGTGGCAGCAGGGCCAGGGCAACTTGTGGGCCTACAGGCTCAAGTCTGCACAACAACTTGAGCGGCCAACCCAGAGCCGCTCACCGAGAGACGCAAAACCCCAGGCGTGGCCCTCCCTCGCGGCCGCGGCCGCGGCTCCGCCGTCGCTGCTGCTCAGGCTGCTGCTGCTGCCGCTGCTGCCGCTGCTTGTTCCCCCGCCCGCGCCAGGTGGCTGTGCCACCGACACCTGCCGCAGCAGCCCGGCCGCCCTGTGGGCACACAGCAGGTCCGAGTAGAAGCAAAATCCAGGCCCCCCTCCTCCTTTGTCGCCGTCGCCGCCCGCGCCGTCGTCCGTGGACAAGCTCTCTGCGCTGCCGCCGCCGACGGGGCCGCCCCGGTGCCGCGCAGCCGCCGCCGCCAGGTGCGCCTGCTGCGGCACCGGCGCCCGCGTGAGCGCGACCTGCGCGTGCCCGTGGTACTGGCTCGCGCCCGCCCTGGGGAGGCAGTTCCACAGGAAGAACGGCCACAGCCGGCCCCCCTCCTCTTCCCCGTAGCCCTCTCCGATCCCACCGGCCGGCCCGCCGTCCTGCCCCTGCTGCTGCTTCTGCTGCTGCTGCTGCTGCTGCTGCTGCTGCTGCCGCTGTTCGTACTCCCCGGCAGATTGCTGGAACCAGAGCCACGACGCGTCAAGCAGGTCGGATAGCTCCTGGGGCCCGAACGCCAGGGGGTCGTGGCGGCGGAACAGCACTACGCCGTGGGAGGGCTCGGCGTACCTGGGTCGGGGCGAGTGCGCGGGGTGGTGGGGATGGGGTTGTGGCGTGGGGTGGGGTTGGTGGGGGTGAGCAACTTCCAGTTGCGTGTATGCAGGCTTTTAGTGGAGCCAGTGTGTGTGTGTGTGTGTGTGTGTGTGCTTGTTTGTGTGCGTGTGTGCGTGATTGTGCGTGTGCGTGTGTTGTAATGTGTGTGTAAATGTGTGTGTGTGTGCGCACGTGTGTGCGGGAAGCTGGCGAAACAAGGTGTGAGCCCACGCCAGTGCAGACATGACCTTGGAGCGGGGCACAGGCAGGGGATGGTCGTGGGCGCTGCTACGATCGAGGTCTTCGTATGTGCACGGGAGCGGCACAGAGCCGGTGGGCGCAGCGCAGCGCCCTGCTTTAGTACGCGCACAGCACAGCGCAGCGCAGCGCGGCACATCGCAGTGCGCTTCAACGCAGCCCAGCTGATGATGTCATTGTGACATCACCGGCTGCGGCCCCCGCACACTCACTTGAAGAGGTTTGACCCCGTCACCGCCCCGGGCAGCTCCACGCGCCCAAACCCCGCGTCCCGCGCGGTCAGCGCGTCCCATGCGCAGAAGTCGCAACGCGCGCCATTCCCTGTGGAGTCCAGGTCGGCTGCCGTCAGGCGGCTCTTGAACGTCTGCGGCTTGCTGCTGCGGGAGGGGTTCCACCAGGCCTGGTCCAGCGTCACCCTGGGGAGGGATCATGGCGGTAGGACAGTAGGGCAGCAGGTGGTGTTACGGGGCGCTGTCGTTGGCGGCGTGCGGCAACCCCTCGGTTTGACCGCTGCCGTAGGGCTTGCACGGCCTGGCTGCGTGGCATCCTAGTGCAGCTCCGCCGCCGTCTTTGCGTTCCGCCGTCGCCCCGCATCACCACCGCCCTGATCATGTGCCAAAACGGTCGCCGCTGGCTGCTGACAAGGTGGATGGGACGCGTGTATTTTCACAGCGGCGTCCGCACCTGTTTGTGATTGAAATCACCCTCTGCACGTTATCTTGCTGCAGGCTGTACTTGGCAGCCAGCTGGGCATTCCAACAGGGCAGGGGTTCGGCAGGCGCAGGAGTGAGCATCCGCACGGCGCGGGGCGCATGTGAGAAGGGGCGCCAAGTCGGCGCTTGCACTGCTGCACAGAGCTCCCTGGCTGGAGGCCTCAACCCGGACATCAGCAGGGGAGGAGGCAGGCAAGCGGCGAGGCCCTGCGATGACGATGGATTGAAACCCCCCGAACCCCCACACCCCTGCCCCCAGCAACCTGCGGCGGCACCGAGCAGGGCGCGTCGCCGGACGTGACCCGGTAAACACGCCGGAACGCAGCGCCGTCGCGGCCGGCGTGGATGCGTGCGAGGGACGAGGCGACGTCCTGGACAGAGCGCAGCTGCTGCGCCGCCGGGTTCGCCGCCAGCGATGACGCCGGCATGGGGCCCGCCATGTCCGGGGCTGCTGCTGCTGCTGCTGCTGCTGCTGCTGCTGCTGCTGCTGCTGCTGCCGCCGCTGGCTGCAATGGTGGTGGTGCTGGTGCGGCGGTGGTGCTGCTTCCGCTGGTACAATGGTGCTCTGCCAATGGCGCTGCTTCAAGGTCGGATCAGAAGCGGGCGCTTCGCACGTGGGATTGGAGCGGTGCAGTGCTGGTGCAGTGCTGCCCTCAGTGACTCGCGCTGCCGCCTAACACCTGGCGCTGCAGCCTCTTCGGTTTACAACCACTTGTGTAAGGGCCTACTTTAAGCAAAAGTCTGGCCGGGAGCTACCGCATACCTTACAGGCAGGTAACTACGTGATCACCAATGGTGCGCTGCGCTATGCCCATGACACTGCCTGGATGTTTGATAGTTCGAGCAATCAATTTGATCCAGTATCACACTTTGCTCATCGAGCATCCTACATTCGAATTTACATCCCGGCACATGGCGTGCCCATTTTCAGGGGCCGCCGCGGCTCCGAGTGGTGATGCGAAAGTGGCGTCCGGATGCCCTTTCGCACGCCTGTGGCAGTCGAAAGACCAGGCGCCCCAAGTGCCGACCTCGGCGCCCGACGCCGCAACTGCGCCGTCCGCCGCCGCTGCGTCAGCATCCGCCCCGGCCGCCAATGCGTCGACGCCGGCCCCTGCGACCTGCCCTTTCGGGTTTGGGAGCTCCAAATCAGGGCCAAAGTTGAGCGAGCTGCATTGCGTCCTCTGCAGCAGCCTGGCGCACGACGCCGTCGCCGCGCAGCCCTGCAAGCATGCGTTCTGCGCGGCCTGCATCCGCGGCGCGCGCGACTGCCCCCTCTGCGGTCGCGACATCGACGGCCTCGCGCCCGCCCCCGATATTCAAGGTGCGTGCCGCCGTGGCCATGCACCCAAGGAGATCCCGGCTCGATTGGCCCCCTCTGGACTTGTGCTGCTTGACCGCATGCATGGGCGTCGCACGTTCCCCACCCGGCGCGGGCTGGGCGCGCGCCCCGCGCGGGCGTGGCGCGCGGCGTCCATCATCCCAGTGCGCATGTGCGGCTATGAGCCAATGCTGAGACAGGGAAAGTTCAAGCAAGATACCCTGCGAATGACCTGCGCACACCCCAAGCCCCATCTCAAACACCATTCTACCCATTCACGCGCAGCCATGGTTGATGCATTCCTCGAAGGCCCCGCCCGCACCAGCAGCAACGGCGGCGGCGGCGGTGGCGGCGGCGGCGGCGGCGGCGGCGGCGGCGGCGGCGGCGGCGGCAGCGGCGACGGCAGCGGCGACGACGGCGTTGGGGCCGTGCCCAGCGCGGCTGGCGACGCCGGGCCGTCCTCTGTCTTCCTCGCGCACGGGCTGCGCAGCATGCTGGGTGAGGCCTGGGGTGAATTGTGAATGGGAGGGAGCTCGGCGCCGGAGGCGCCTTTGATGCGCGCTAGTATGAGGGTCTGCGTCGGGCCGTGGCTGCAGACGCCCTCGCCTGGTGCTTTGCCGAGGGTGCGCTGGCTATCTCATCCGCATGTCGCAGGCGGCAACACCGACGCCGCGCTCTACCGCCTGGGCCGCTGCCGCGACCTGCTGCTGGAGGAGCAGCGGCGGCAGGAAAGCCCGGGCCGCGCCGACGCGAATGGCGAAGCAGGCGGAGTGGCCGCCGCCGCCGCCGCGCGTGCGGCCGCCTGTCGCTTGGGGGCGGTCTGCGGCTCCCTGGGCGACTGCTGGCGGCGGCGCGGCGACCTGGCGGCTGCGGGGGAGGAGCTGCGTGCGAGCGCGGACCACTTGCGGCCGCACGCGGCGACAGATGCAGAGGCAGCGCACGCGCTGAGCGTGACATTGTCCAAGCTTGGGGACCTGCAGTACTACGTGGTGCAGCAGCAGCAGCAACAGCAGACGCAGCAGCCACAGCAGCAGCAGCGGCAGGGCGCGGAGCAAGTGCAGGAGCACGGGCAGGAGCAGGGGCAGCAGCAGCAACCCACCGCAGGCGTGGCGCCGGTTGGCGCGGCTGCCGACGCCCTGCCGTTCTACGAGGAGGCCCTGGCGCTGCGCCGCGCGCTGTGCGGCCCTCTGAACGGCGGGCGCGCCGGGCCCGCGGCGGTGCTGGACCTGGTGTCGGCGCTGGCCAAGGTGGCTGATGCACAAGAGGTGAGATGATTGTGCATGCGAACGCGCTTGTGTGTGTGTGTGGGGGGGGGGGTGTGTGGGCTGGAGGGGGGTGTGGGTGTGTGGGCTGGAGGGGGATGTGGGTGTGGGTGTGTTGTGACTGGGGTTGCGCGGCCTGAGTGGGACTGGAGACTGGGAGCTGAACGCAGGGGCTCGAGGTGATTTGGCACCCGAATTCTCCCGCGCTGTCAATGTGGTGATGCCGCTTGGCCCCTAGCCCGCTTCGGTTGGGCGCTGCACGTCCCGAGTGTCAGTGTGCTCATCGGCTGCGGTGCAGCTGGACGGGCGCAGAGTCTGTGCAGCACGGTCGCCTTTCGTGCCCCCTCCACCACGCTGCAAGCACCTGGCTGCGCCCTGCATGTCGCGCGCAGGCCGTGGGCGACGCCCCCGCAGCGCTGCAGCACTGGCGCCAGGCAGCAGAGGAGCTGCGGCTTGTGCCTGGCGGCGCGCTGGAGGGGCCCCTGGCGGCCAAGATGGAGACGCTCCAGAAGATGCTTGCACTACGTGGGCACATCGCATAGGGTTCTTGCGGGTTGCACGAGGGGCGCGCAGCGCCGGGCATCATCACACTCCGTATGAATTGACCCGAGAGTTGACTGTTTCCCGTGATACCGTATGGCCAGGCACTCCTTGGCTGCCCTTGGTGCATGGGATCCTCTAAACGTGTGTGACACCTTGCCTCAATGCATTTGCTGTATACCCGTCGTGTGGAGCTGGCCGTGGGGACCACCATACTGTACCGTCGACGCAGTGCCCCCGGAATGGTGGTGGTCGCTGTTGTTGCCTTCATGGAGGGCGCCCCTCACCCGGCGCGATGTGCACATGAGGTTCCCGCTGAGATCTTATATTCACCTCGCCCGTCTTGTAAAGCCCCTTCACTGCCTCGTAAAGAATTCGTTCACCGTTCGGCACGCGCGTAGATCGCTCCCTGTGCATCGGTTTGTGAGCACACGTGCTAGAAACTAGTTCTCAACAACATCTCGGCGAGATGAGGCCCCTGGCGCTGCCGCAGAGACAAGCTGCTGGCGCTTGTTGCAGAACGGGTGCGGCAGGGCGCTTGCATGCGCGCCAAAGGGCCTCAACCGCGAGGCTCCGGGTGGTTGCAGCAGCTTCAAACGATGAGGTGAGGGGAGGGCCGCTGGCGTGCGCCATGGCGCCAGGCTGCAGCATCAGCGTCACACTGTGCGATGCAACGCTGTCATCTCTCCACCATGACGTTTCGAGGCTGGGCAGTGCGGCATACGCATATGTTGCGGTCACATAGCTAAGGACCTGGCGACGGCACGCCTGCCTGGGCGTCGTCCCCCGCCCGCGCCCGCTGTGGCGTCGCAACCGGTCAACAGGGCAAAAGACGCCATGGCTCGCGCCACTTCTCCTCCCCTACGCAGGGCCGCAGCACTGTACCGGACACCCTCCCCATAGTGGCGCTGGGCGGAGACACGTACATACTGCGCTCTTTCGGTGAGCACCGCTCGACCGCACAGAACACAGAGGCGTTTTTGCGTCCCGGCCCGCACCACCTCAATCGGAGCGGCGGCATGGCTGCAGCGCCGTCGTCGCGGACCCTCGCTCTGCGCCCTGCTTGCCTGTGCCCCACGCCCCTTCATGTCACGCCCACCCTTCTGCCAGTGCGACCGGCGGATCATGCTTCGCCGCGATTTGACCTGGACCTGGAGGGGGCGCTGGCGGTGCAGCTGCAGGTGGGTGTGCCCAGGGGACAGCCCAGCCACAAGAGGAGCCAACGCGCAGAGGCCAGGCGCAGAGAGTCGCGTGGATTTTTGCGCCTGGGCTGCTGGGCGCGCGTGCGGGGCTGCATCCAGTCTGCCAGAACCCCGGGCGCATGCCGGGCCGCATCTTCCTGCCTGCCGGCGGTGCTCCTTCATGCCGCAACCTTCGCTGTTGCGACTGCGCGGCTTGTCCCCCCTCTCCCCAACCTCCAGGCCCTGCAGTCCAACAACAAGCCGTACCCAGACCATGGGGTCGAGGTGGGCCGCCTGGGGGCTCGCCTGCCGTTGCCGCGTGCCAGCCCAGCCTGGGCTCCCATGCTGCCGCTCCCAGCCCCAACCGGGCATCAAACACACGCTATCACACGCAACAACGCCAGGTCATGTACCGATTCGCCGCGTTTGATCCTTTCGAGCGATCTAAGTACTTTGGCCGCAGGTGAGTGTCCCACAAGGCGCTGTGCGCGCCGTCGTCTTGTTGCCTCGCCGCAGTTGCTACCAAACTCGGCGGCTGCAGCGAGGCGCTCAATGACGAGCGTCAGCTGCCCCCCTCGTCCCTTGTGCTCCGCCCCTGATCCGTCCCCTCTCCCCTCTGCCCACGCTCCCCCTCAGCTTTGACCTGGGGCAGTTTGAGCGGTTCCGCCGCGTGTTCCACACGCCGGCGTACCGCGCGCTGCTGAACCACGACAGCTGCGAGGTGGTGTCGCGCTTCCGCATGGGGGAGAGCAAGTGCGCGGTGCGGGTGCGGGCGCGGCACGACTCGCCGCTGGAGGAGAGCACGTACACCATCACGCTCTTCCAGGTGCACCTGTGTGCCTGATGTGTGTGTATGTGCCCGCATGCAAAACGCACGTGTATGCGTGTGTATGTATGTGGGTGTGTGTTCAGGGGGATTTGGGTGAATTGATTGTGCCATTCTTGCATCGATCGCAATGGAGGCTGGTGCATCTGATGCCTTGCGCACGCTGCAAAGATGGCGGGTCTGGAGGGCTCGTGCGCCTTGGGGCACGCCTCGCAATCGCCCCTAAAAGCGCGCATCCCCACCGCTCGTCACTGTGCCACCCTCAGAGGCAGGGCGGCCCGTACGATGGCTACTGGGTGACAGAGTCCGTCATCTGCGACTCTGCGGACTGGAACACCATCATCACCAGCTGGTGATGTCACCATGTGACGCTCACAGGGCATGGTGTCGGCTGGGTACTGATTTACGTGCCGCCTAACTTCGCGCGCTGCTAGGCGCCAGTGCCCCCCACCCGAGAGCGCCACTGAGAGGGGTGTGTCTCGGCCACGATGGCATATTGCCGTGTGCACGGCTAGATGTGCCCCCAGTGCCTTGCAACGCACTCATCAATCGGCCGTGCGACCACCAACGCGCGGCGCGGTCAAGACGTGCAGAGGCGATCGCCTCTTGGCCCCCCGCCCCCCAATTCGGTTCTGTATGTCCCTTCTCTTTGCTTTCCGGGCCCGTGCCCTTTGCACTGCGCGCGACCGGTCCCTGGAAGCCGTGAGGCCACCATTTTCCCTGCCTCACGGCTCTCCTCCCCCGCATTTTACGAGCGGCTGTGCACCGCAGGGGGTGATCATGGACCCTTTATAGAATCAGAATCAGCTCAGTAGCTGGTCGCTGCTGGCTCACGCCTGCAGCCCCTTCTTTGCGCCTGCCTCCCCGCGGCCGCAGCCCACGCGCCCTGTTGCAACCCACACAGGCTGGCTGCAGCCGGCCCTGCGCGCAAGCACGCGCAGAGGCTCGCTCTCTGTTGTACCACTCCTCCCCTGTTGTTTCTTTGGTTCGATGCTTTCGCGCGTTCCCGTCTGCGCTCAGCAAACCCGCCTGCCACCACACCCCGGGCATCATGAACCCGCCGCCACGTGCGCGCATCTGGCCCGCCGGCAATCCCTGTACAACAACGCAGCGCTGACTGTACCACTGCATGGCAGCAGCCACAGCGCCGAAACCCGCCTTGAGTAGCCAGTATGCATGGCGCGGACACGGCCATGTGACGTCACTGCGTGCGGGCGCATACGCCGCCCTCGGCGCGCGCGATGCGCACGCGCGTTTTGCGAAGTGGGGACATGCGCAACGTGTAATGCCGTGTCCCAAGTGGCAGCCCTTACTTGGTGGATGATGTTCGAGTTTCGCTGCATGACGAGTTCTGCAGGCAGCGCGGCGGGTGGCGCCTGCTGGTGGTGCAAATGTAACAGCCAGTGTGCTTGCCCAACCCTGCCACAGCGATTTGTCATATGTTACCTTCACTGCTTGTCCGGTAGCTCAGGATGTCGGTGCTCAGCCAGCTCGCGGCGAGGGCGCTGGGGCCGTCCAGCATGGCCTCGGCCATGGGGCCAGCGTTGCAGCAGCAGATGCGCTCATATGCGGAGAAATTCTACTTCCACATGGACCGGGACACGGAGCGAGGTCAGTCGACTTGCGAGCAACTGTGGCTTTTGTGAGATCACCTGGGGGAACTTGCCTCCCGGGCCGTAGCGTGGCTCATGCTCACGCTTCAAGCTCTCGCCATTCCACAGACAGGAAGGAGCGGGATCCAACCTTCCGCCAGACTCCCAAGGACTTGGCAGCAAGTGCGTAGCCCATGCGGCGCGCGCGACCGCTCGCGCTGCTGCACGGCGCTACGGAAAGCTGAGCCAGCGTGCTTGCGGTGTGTCGCCGTAGCTGCGACGCAGTGTCCTGGAGGATGTGAACCTGCAGCCAACGCAGATGCTCGCTAGACGGCCGAGCTGCTGCCTCGCACCGCCTGCATGCTCCTGCCTCACAGTCCTGGACGACAGCGCCAACTCGCTGTTTGTGACCGAGGTGGTCCGCGGCATGGCGCTGACGCTGAAGGCCTTCTTCGATCCCAAGGTCACGGTGAGCGGCCCGGGGGACAGCAGGCGATGCTGCACTTCCGTCATGGCCATGCACGCACGTTTCAGAGCGGCGCTCTGGTGTACGGCGCTGCGCTGTGGCCCTTGGGGCCTCACTCTGAGTGGCGTCAGGTTCTGGGTGGAAAGGCTGCACCAGCTGACAGTGGCTTGGCATCATGCAGCTGCGCAGATGTGGGCCTGCAGTGGCATGAATGTGTCTTTGGGATGTCTGCCTGATGGGTCAAGGGCTGGGGGGTGCGTCGCACACACAACGAGTCATATGGAGACAACCCCCGGCAGCGGGGGGTTCTGGAGAGAGGGGGTGGAGATGTGTGGCGGCTGGGAGTACAGTGCAAGCCGGGTTAGCAGAGGCGCACACCAGTGCTGCAGGGGCCCTGATCAGTGGAGATGACCAGCGTTCTCCAAACAGGGACGCAGGGGGGCGCTGCACCACCGCACGAGTGCGCCTCGTGCTAGTGCTGGAGGGTATGCGGGCCTCTTTGACCCAGTGGCACTACCCGTCCAGTGGGCCCTACGGCGCATCGCAATCCCTCTCTTCTTGCCACCCCCCTGATGTCAGCTGCCTGTTGCTGCCTTCTGCCCCTGAACCCTCCTGCCCTTCAACCCCCCTTCTCCCCAAGATCAACTACCCCTTCGAGAAGGGCGCCATCAGCCCGCGCTTCCGCGGCGAGCACGTGCTGCGGCGCTACCCCACCGGCGAGGAGCGCTGCATTGCCTGCAAGCTGTGCGAGGCCGTCTGCCCCGCGCAGGTGGGCAGACATATGGACAGGGCACGAGGGGAGGGCCAGGGCCTCGGAGGAGGGCGTGGCGAGTGGGGATGGAGGTTATGGGATGGAGCTCCCTGTTGAATGCTACGAGGCTGTGGCAGTCACATGTACGGGCCCTGGCGTCGGAGCTCCGCATACACGCATCGGTTGTTTGTCCCTCTTCCTCCTGCCGCAATCAGCCAGCTCGCGCTTACTGCGTGCGCGCGCCCCTCGCCTCCAACCACCCCCAGGCCATCACCATTGAGGCGGAGGAGCGCGAGGACGGCAGCCGCCGCACCACGCGGTACGACATCGACATGACTAAGTGCATCTACTGCGGGTTCTGCCAGGTGTGTGTGTGTGTGTGGGAAGGGAGGGGGGGCAAGTTCGTGGATGGGTCGGAGGAGAGAGGTGTGGCGGGTGAGGGGTTGCCGATCGTGGCGCTGTCGCTGTTGTCTTCTGAGGGCAAACATCATGCTGACCTCTAGATGGGGGTCCAGCGCAGCCACCAGCGTGCGTGGGCTGCCGGCGCAGGTTGTGCTGTCTGGTGATGGAAAACAAACGCGCACCTCGGCACTCGTGCGGCCCCGCAGGAGGCGTGCCCAGTGGACGCGGTGGTGGAGGGCCCCAACTTCGAGTTCAGCACAGAGACGCGCGAGGTGACGCCTGACGCGGGGGGCGGGGTGCTGAAGTACATGCGTTGCGTAATACAAGTGCTTCCAAACACTTTTTTGTCGCTGCCTGTTGGCGTGTAGGCGAGCAGCCAGGCCAGTAGTGCCCCATCTCACAGCAGCACCCCACCTGATTGCAACCTATCAGGAGCTGTTGTACAACAAGGAGAAGCTGCTTGCGCTTGGGGACAGGTGGGGCACGCACGAACGCCTCCCTGGGGCCCGTTTGCGTGCACTCAGCAGCGCGGCGCATGCAGCCATCGCCATCTACATACATGCGGAATGCCAGCGCTCATTGCCCACCTCGCCGCTGTTCAATGCCTTCTCGTCCATGCCCCTTTCCCTTGGTCCACCCTGTCAACGTGACTGCTTCCCTTGCCCATTTCGTGCCGCTTGCGTTCCTACTCAACCGCAGGTGGGAGACCGAGATTGCCGCGAACCTCAGGCAGGAGTCGCTCTACCGCTGAGTCAGCAGGGCAGCCCTCAAGCGCCCACCAATGCCGCACGCCCTTCGCGTCGCGTGGCATCACTCGGATGCATGCCTGATCATGCATCCCATCCATGCCGCATCGGCGGCCACCTGCCGGCCTGCCACCAGCTTGACGTCTCGGCCATTGTCTCGACTGTCGTGTGTTGATCACCTTTCTGATGGTAAATTTGCATGTTTCTGAGACAAGGCAGACAATTTTTGTGCCCGTGATATCTGCTGAATAGCGTACCAGCAGCCAAGAATCTGCAAGCAGCAGCCGCAGCTGCGCCAGCAGCAGCTTGCTACTGCTGCTGCTTGTGCTAGTGACAGAGGAGTGAGTCAGTGATGGTGCTAAACGCCATCCATCGTGGTGTCGTTGTACATTCGTTCAAACATGAACCTGAAATACTGTCCACGTCGTCCATCCCGCAACCCGAAAGTGTCTTGGATCGCATTATCCGCAGCATAAGCGCCTGTTCTGCCCTTCTGGCACGTGTTAGCCAAGTGAACTTGATCCAGCGCGTACAGGAGCTCTGTGTCCGGACGCAGCGATCATGGCGCTGGTAGGTGATCTGCGCGCCAATCCCGTCCTTTGCCACAACACGACGCTGACGGACCCCATGTGCACCGCAGGACGCGAAGCAGCTGGGATCGGCTTTCAATCAGATTGCATATGGCGAGGTCATGAAGGCGGCGGTGCGGGATTACGCAAAGGTGCGCACGCCGCTGCGCCGCCTGCTGTATGCCATCGGCCGGCGCAATGCCTGCGCCTCACTGCAAAATCAGCCTGCAGCGGATGTGTACGTTCCCGTTGCGCGGTCGCCAGGGCTGCGATGCGCGCGGCAAGCCTCCGCCCTACCGACAGAGCGCCACCGTCTGCTGCACGCTTGGCGGCCCCGCCCCGCCAGGAATTGGGGGAGCAGGAAAAGGCGCGGGACGAGGGGCCCCGAGCAGTGGACGTGGATGATCTGCTGGACGACCCTGGTGGGTTGGCGCGGCGCGAGCAGGATGTGTGCTGCACGCGCTGCCTGTGCTGTGGTTGCTGCAAACGCCATGGTGTCGTAAGCGTGTCCTGCGATCCCTGCTCGCGCTGCAGTTGCTGCGTGCGTGCTGCAGGTGCCATGTGCTCTTGATGTATTGCGTGTGTGTGCTGGTTCAGAAGAAAAGATGTAAGAGTGCGAGGCCATGCCTGCTCAGCGCGGTGGGCCGATGCGGTGGCAGTGGGGGGTCACTGCCCAGTCTTTGGCGACCTGTGATGGGAGAAGGCGCTCAGAGCGGAGGCAGTATTTTGGATGCGGGCGGCCGCAGCCGTGAGATGAGGGTCGAGCCCGCTGCTCGCCGTGTGCCTGGCCAAAAGCTCAGCAACACAACCGGGTCGGGCCGGTGCGTAAGGCAGGCGGCGGCAACGGCTCCGACACGCGGCGGTTAGCACCTGTGCTCGACGCTCTGTCGCAGCTCTGCAGCTCTTCCCTGACTCAGATCGCCGTCGCTCCCCTGCCTCCTCAACTTCCAGAGCTGGAGAAGCTGCACTCGGACCGCATCGCCGCCATGAAGCAGGAGGCGGAGCGGAGGGCCGAGCTGGAGCGCAAGGGGCACGGAAGCTACGAGGAAGTCACGGAAGGGGACTTTTTGGAGGTGACTGGGCGAGGGTGGAGGCGAAGGGGTGTGATCCGGGACGCTCTGCATCGCGCCAGCAGCCGCCGTCACCGCGCGCGCGTGCCGAGGCAGCGGATGGGCTTGAGAGGAGGGCGGGGCAGCTGCCCTGCAGCTGGGAGCCAGGTCTGCAGCAACTCTGGCCCCTCGTTTTCGTGGGACAGCCCCTGTTTTAGGTCGAGTCGCCGACGGGCGACCCACCCCATGCACCCCTCGCCCGTGTCGCATGGCCACCGTCATCCCCCACCCCAGGTGACGACCACGACGGAGAACGTGGTGGTGCACTTTTACCACCGCGATTTTGAGCGCTGCAAGATTGTGGACAAGCACCTCGCACTGCTGGCCAAAAAGTGAGCATACGCGGAGGGTTGCAAGGGGGGGCCAGCGGGGGCTCAGGGGTGGAGGTAGAGGATGGGGTGGCCGGCAGCGCGGCCCTGGACTACGGCGGTGCATGAGGCTTGAAGCGGGAGGGTTGGCGGTGACCAATCAAGTGGGAAGCTCCAGGTCGGGGGGCCACGCGGGCCGGGCTCGCCCTGCGCTGTCTCGACGATCAGCTGCGGGGCGAGCCGCGCGAGGGCGGCTGAGTGTATGGAGGTGTAGTGCCATGGGTAGAGGGATTGCAGTGCTGAGAGCTCCTTCTCCCTGACCGCGGCCTCTCCTTCTCTTCCCCCTCCCTCCTACCCCCACCC